TTTTCTTTCTTCTTCACCAGCACGACATTAGCAAGCCATGCTGAGTGTGCTACCTCTTATATGAATCTGGCCTCTAGTAGCTTGTCAATTTCTGCTTCTATAATCGTCACTCGTTCAGGTGTAAAATGCCTTCTTTTTTGGATCATCGGTTTGGCAGCGGGGTTGACGTGTAGCTTGTGGCAAGCTATCTTAGGGTCGATGTCAGGCATGTCGGAAGGTGACCAAACGAAGATTTCATGATTTTCCTTAAGGAAAACTGTAAGTTCTTCATTTTCCTTCGAGGTCAGACGTGAACTGATACTAACAGTCTTTTCCGGCTGTTGGGGATCAAGAATGATGTGTTCAGCGTCCTTTTCAGGTTTCCATCCTATTTTGTCTGTTGGCGCGTTGGTTTGGACACCATTTTCTTAATTCGCTTGCTGTAATTGCTATTTGGTACCTTCATTGTCCATTTGGACCTCGGTAGCCTCTACGGGGGTAAAGGTTTTATTCTTTTATTCCTTCAATACTTGCATAGTGCATCGTTGAGATGCGACTTGGTCAGACTTGATTTTTTCGACTCCTCCTCCTGGGATACGGAATCAGATTTTTTGATACTTGACGGAAGTGATGACATCCAGCTTTATCAGCCAAGGTCTCCCTAGAATCCCATTGTAGAAAGACAAGTCGCTTACTATTGTGAACTTCTGCTTTAAGACAACTGACTGTGTTTTCACGCCAAGTGTGATGTGGTCAATGGCAGTCCAGGTGTGTCCGTTGAATTCTGTGAGTACCTCCGCTCGGGGTATGATTGTGCTTTCCAGGCCCATCTTTTGAATTGCTGAGAGTTGAAGTAGGTTGATTGCACTTCCATTGTCAACCATCATTCTGTTGACTATGGCATGGGCCAATTGGACAAATACTACCAGCGCGTCGTCGTGCGGAAAGTCGATGCCTTCAGCATCCTGCTCGGTGAAACCAACAATGGGTCTAGGTTGGGTGTCGACTGCTTGGATTTGTGAAACTAAAAGAGCTTGCTGGATCTTCCATTTCTTCGAATTGTTGGTGGCCCCCAAATGCTCATAGACGAAGATGTCGTTAATCTGGATTGTCTTGTTGGGGGTTCTTTGTCGGCATTCGCGTTCTTTCTAGGCTGCGCAGCTGGCTTGTCCAAGTATCTGTCGACCTTGCCTTATTTCATGAGCTTCTCTAGGTAATTCTTCCAAGTGTAGCAGTCGTCAGTTGTGTGACCGGGACCTCGGTGGAATGCGCAGTACTTGGTGTGGTCCGACTTGGAAGTATCTCCCTTTGATTGCTTCGACAGTTTGAACCATGGTTCGCTCTTGATGTCACGAAGGATTTGGTGATCGAGATTGAGAACTTAGAGTAGTTCTTAGTCGTCAGACTTTCTTTGGTCGCGGGTCAGTCCCTATGCTTAGCCTTCTGCCTGCTTTTGTTGTACTATTTCCCATCCTCATTCTTTTGAGCCACTGCCGACTCTTTTTTAGGCTTCTCGGGCGCCTTGTTTGCTCGTCTAGCCTCATCCCAAAGTGCATGCTTCTCTGCCAGAGCGAAAAAGTCTGCCCGAGTTAGATCTTCTTTCATGATCAATTCTCCAAACAATGGGTGATCTGCTGAAAGTCATTTTTGGAAGGCTGCACTTGCTATCGAGTCGTCGCATTTGACCATCATCGCCTTCTCTGCTTTGAACCTTTTCACGTAGTCGTGGAGCGACTCCTTTGGATTATTCTTCACATTGAACAAATGATCGGACTTTTTCTTGATCGAGCGGTAGAATAAGTATTCTTTGGTGAAAACCAAGGAAAGATCATCAAAGCTCAGGATGGATTGTGGCGGTAGGGTGCGAAACCAATCTTACGCTTCACCTTGCAAAGTGGTGGCAAATATCTTGCACATAAGGGCATTGTTGTTCCGACAAAGAACCATCGCGCTTTAGTAGTGCTTCAAGTGCCTCTCTAGATCTCCATCTCATTTGAAAGATGTGAAATGTGGCATGCTAAACTTGCGTGGAGGCTTTGTTAGCTTGATCTTGTCCGTAAAAGGTAACCTGCTTATGTTGGTCATGCCCCGTCGTAATGCTTCATCGACGACCTCGTTACGTTGGAAATTACATAATCGTTCGTTTAAGAGTTTTTCTACCTCTTACTGAATCTACCTTTGTTGGGGGTAACAAAGCTCTCGGTTGCCCCCCGTCTTGACCTACTAGTCTAGGCTACTCTTCTACATGCTCTGCTCGTTTATGCTGCGGTTGCGGTGTATGTGGTTCATTCCTAGCAGGTTGCCATTTGAAATTAAGCCAAATTAAGTGACTGCTCATCTCCGTCCGTCGTGCTGCCTACTCCGATATGAGGTGGATGATGCTCCTTGTGGGCCTAGCCGCGAATGAACACTTCGCCTAGAAGGTTGTCCATGTTGATCATAAAAGTGTGGTCTCAATCGTGAATGGACGCTCGTTTGTGGGCCTAATCGAGAGTGCATGCTCCTCCGTGCCCTAGGTCATGAGTATACGTTATCTCGGGGGCCTAGTCGTGAGTGTACACTGCCAGAACACTCGATTCATGACTGGTCGAGTGGCTGCTTGCTAGGACGCTGTTGGAGAGGTTCTTCGCCTGTCCTTGTCCTACTTCGGGATACCTCGTCCTGGGCACGTTACATCTCGGTGCGCTGTAAGAGCTGATTCACCAAGGTCGTTTGCCGTGCGAGGGCGCTCATCAACTCTATGACTTGTCGAGACAAGTGTTATTCTCCATTTGGGTTAGAAGAGCTTAGAAGGAACGCATCTCCTTGAGTAGCGGAAGTGTGGTAGATCCATATGCGATATCTGAGTTAAGAAATGTCAAATATGTGGAGAAATGTGGTGAAAATACCCTTGGTTCAATCGTCAGCCCAAAAATTTAGAGCCGGGACTGTTGAACTGGTCTTGGCCCAGTTTAGGCTACTTGGGACACCATGGGAGTGGGCTACTCCATGTGCGGCACGTGTGGGAGTTGGGTCTGAGCTCGGCTTAGATGCGCGCTGGGCTCGTGCTAGGTTGTGGCTCAGGTCAGCTCATCCTGGGCTTAGGCCCTTGAAGCTTGAAATGTCGCGGCTTGGGCCCTCTGGACTTGGGCTCGACCTTGGAGTGGATTAGGCTTGTGATGGCCTTGGGGCCGCAAGGTTTGGGCTACTGCCTTGGCAGTTACGGTTGCGACTTGGGCCTCTTTATACTAGGTCGAGCTGGACTCTCTTGTGTCGCAGGCCTAGGCTTGCTGCTGCAAGGTGGCATGGGCCTGGGCTTGCGGCTGCAAGGTATCTCCTTCATCGTGGGCTTGGGCCTCATCGAGGGTTGCCACGGTGGCTGCTACGGTGATGCCCAGTGGGGGTGGTACCGCTCCACTTGCCGTCGCGTTGAGCCTCATGGCCGTGGTCCAAATCCTTGAGCGTAGGAAGTTTCGTTCGTTGTGGTTTCTGAGTTTCTAGTCATTGTACTTTTCTTTTACATTTTATCAAAGAATTTTTATAAATAAAAATTCCAAGAATAAGAATGTACGAAAAATCTATAAATGAAAAAAAAAGCGAATAACCTTGAATGCGAAAGTCTTTTTTCGAGCATGTGAATCAAGACTCTCAATGAAAGCACCAATTTGTGGATGTAAATTTTTGCCTTCTTCTTCTTGGATGAAATTGCACCTGCAAAATAATTAACACCTTAGGTCAAGGCCAAGAGCCTCACACGCGTCAAAGAACCTCCGATGCCAATGTTAGAATTTGAGGGAAAAGTGTTTAGGGAAATTTGGAGAATTTTGTAAGAGAGTTTGAATTAGGTTTTTGGGAGAAGTGAGAGCTATTTATAGGGGTGTGGCTAGCCCCTATTTGGAGAAAAGGGATCCGACCACTTATGGTGGTTTTTGGGTGTAATTGCAAGATATTATGTCAAAATAATATTTTGCAATCAATTAGGAAATTAATTAGAAAAATAATTAATTAATTAGGAAATTAATCAATTAATTTAGGTAATTAATCCTAATTTGAATGAATAATTGAGGGTTACCTTGTAGGGAGGATTTGATGAAGATGGATGAAATAGGTTTTGAATAAATACCTATTTTGATCACTTTTGACCTTTATTGAGTCGTGATTGTCCGCTGCTTGCGCGTGGGAGTTCCGGTGTGCCTCGAGAGTAATTTTATCCTTTTAACCCAAAAATCCACATGTCGTCTCTATATTCTTCTTGATTATTTTTGGCTCCACAATGGCCACAAAGCTTCATTTTAATTTTGTTTACTCCTATAGATAATGCAGTTTTGTATCTGTGTAATTGGTAGATGGCAATTGCAGCGGCTCATGTGTTTGCCCTTTCAACCGAACCATATCATTACATTTCGGCGTACGGGTATGTGAAAATCACCACTGCAACACCCAAGGCAGAAGTGAAGTTGGAGGAAGGTGAAGCCCCAGCTATGCTCGAAAGAAAACAGACTAAGGTTGAAGCGCCTGGAAGAAGTGTCACTGAGAGTGTTCAGGACATTGTTGTTGATGGCAGTCAGCGTGTAAGTTTATTCCCTATCGATAATCATCCAGTGGATGTTCTGTAGTCTGTTGTGAAGGGGGTCAAGAAGGGCGCGACGAAGATCCAGGAGACTTTCCATGACAGAACAGTGGACTCAGAAGTAGAAGTTGAGGAACAAGTTGGAAATATTGTCAGAGAAACTCATATCGACCTGTAGGAAAGTACTCTCTTTCTGCTTGCATTGAAAAAATATAGTCACTGTGATTAAATTTTTCATGGAAATAATGAGAAAGCGAGCAGATTCGAATGTTTATTTGGGACATTCTTGTACCATATTACATTTTTTTTACTACGGAAGAAACTTCCGGAGATCGAAATCTAAGTAAATCCCTATGCAATCGGACATAAATTAGTATCGAAATGTAAGTTTTAAGCCTTCTGGAAGCACTACGGTTGTGAGAATGGCAAGAATGTTTCAAATGGGAAAGTACACAACAATTTCATCCAAAAGTAAAAAACAGACGCTTTTAACTTTTAATTGTAACCATATATATCTATCATTCATGTTGAAATGTACAGGGTTCACCCACTGCGAAAAAGAGATCCCAAAACAGTAACATTATAAGAGTAAGAATTTCTCGTCTAATCGCTGTCTAGCTGTGCGTATTTGATGCCATGAACAATAATCCTATATACACTATTCTTATTCTACAAGATTACCCAATTCGTACGGCCAAGATTTACGATCCACCATCTCCGCCACAGCAGAAGACACAGCAGTTGAGGCAGCCAGCACATGCCAGACCAGTGCAGAGCTGAGTGAATACGTTTGCACATTGAGGATTTACCTTGAAGCAACACTGGATGCAGGCCATGCAACAACATCTGTTCCACATTGAGCCACAGCAACTCGAAGCTGCTCTCACAAAAATTTCAGCAGCTTCCGGGAGTTTTGGTTCTTCGGATCCAGGAGGAATGTTCTCGGCTGTTGCCACTAAGTTGCCAAAGCCAACGGATAGTGTTGGAAGCAACGTCGGTTTTTCAGAGTCTTTCGTCTTGTTTGTGCGGCTTTTCTTTGATGTCTGTTATGATGTTCATTGAATAATCAATCAGAAAGATGATCCATTATATTATATCAATACCAAAGTACACACTTTCATCTATTTAAGTTGCAATCATTTTGGAAATATAAAAAAATGTTCAAAAAAGACATTCTATCACACTATATGGTGAAGAATAAGTTAGAAAGGAACACTAATTTTGCACGACGAAATTGTTATGGACTTGATGATAACCACACGATATGCTAACAATTGTCCCAGTAGATCAACACGGCAGAATTTAGTTCTGTTTTAGAAAAATGCTTACCTCTTGTGGTCCAGATAGTTCTTTGTGAAGTATCACCATGCATGTATACTCACTCACGACATTGGTCTGCATGCTCAGTTCAGCTACCTGCAAATAGTAGGATATAACATCAGAATATTGGTGCACAACTTCAGAATCAAGGACCTGGGGTAAGATTTTCGTTTTCAATTTTTGGTTTAGGGATAGAGAGGAAATACGTGGAGGAAAAGAGAGACGAGGTCGAGGGAGGTGGTCATCTTTTTGTAACCTGTCTACATTTTAATTTTCGGGGTAGGGGAATGTAGTGAAGCAAGCAACAAACCTTATCTTGAAGCTCTTTGTTATCTCCATACCATGCCCAAGCAGTCAACAACTCAATCTGTCCTTTTGCACATACCTGTACAGAAAAGGAAAAAATTGTCAAGAAACAGGAAATAAGGTACGGTCCTGGTGATGGCTTCTTGTAAAATTTGCAAGACAGGTGGATTTATAGGTCTCGGGTTCGAGACTTGGGAGCAGCCTCTCCATAAATGGGGGTAAGGCTAGCCGACATTCACCTCTCCCAGACCCTGCGTAAAGTGGGAGCCTTGTGCACTGGGTACGACATTTTTGGAATAAGAACGGAGAGAACCCTAACTTGTACTGAAATGGCAAAATGATTCATTGGTGTGATCATGCATGAGTTCTGAAACAGATATTTTGTACGGGACTAAGCAACTACAACTTAAACCAATATAAAATGAAACGTGAACCGGAACCATACAAGCATGGAAAGAACTGTACAATCCAGTAGGAGGTAACACAACGAACACCATCATTCAGTTCACGAAAAAACAGAACTGGCAAAGCCAACTCAATAGCAAAACTCATCAAAATTATTCTAAAAAGATTTATGAGCGGAAGTCAAACTGTAGTTATGCTCACAGGTGAACGGCTTAGTAGTGCCCTTACCCTGTCAAGAGGTATGTCCTTTGCATCTTGTAACTTCAAATCGATCTCGATATTAGACATATCAGGTAGAAGGCCTTTAGCTTTAAGTGAGCTGGGAAACTTTCCTCGGAATTTGCCAGATACGGTTAATGGACTCTCAGATGAGAGGTCTGGAATATGGGAAGGGAATACCTAATGCATAAATTGCAGAGTTGTCATGGCACCTCCAAATAAATTGCTAAAGTTGATGTAAGTTGGATAAATTGTCCAAAACAATACAGCGAGTAAGTCTATGTTTAATGTTGGTTTCGCGTTGTAAATGCAAAAGGTCCTTGAACTTTTAAAACAGAAAGCATACCTCAACATCAACAAGATCATCCAGTGTTTCAAGGGTTATATTTGTAAGAATCACAGATGAGGCTCTGGTAAATAAGCTCTGCATTCGAGACTCGACCAAATCTGAAAACAAAAATGAAAAAAGATTTAAGGATTTGATAACTACAGCTAAAAGAAGTTAGCACAAATTTCTGATATACCTTTAACATATTTGTTCATGGCTATATGACAACAGAAGGTGAGTCATATAATTTGTATGATTTGAAGATCGAGTTTCTAGAAGCCTAGGGCTATTAAAGCTTTTTATTTGACAAAACAGACCAAGATTCATACAAGCTCTAAGGTACAGTATTCATATGTCTCATAAAATATCAGATACTTCATACCAGCTGAAATACAAAACATATGTCTCCACGATATAAAATCCTTTCCAGAAGAAAATAGTGAACTGACCTATATCGTACGCAGCATCATATTGGCCCCTGCCAATCATTGCAAGCATTCGCAGGAAATAATGGTTGCAGAATGTACCTGGAATATTTCAGATAAAAGTTAGCCAGAAGGTAGAGCATACAATATAGTTGATTTTCTCCTTTAAATGCTAGTGTAGTAAAAACAATGTGTGCTTGATGATAAATAAATGTGACTTTAGGCTGGCAGAGAAAAAGTGTTCTCAACTGATATTAAATCATCAGAAAGAGTTTATGATTTCACTTGAGTAAAATAATACTGGCCTGATCTCTAATGGCACAAGCAAAAACCCTTACCTATTCCAAAAGTGTATATACGTGGAGCTATAGGACCTGCTTCTGTAAGACGCTTCTTCATTACATCACAAATGTGCCTCTCATCTTGAACAGACCCATCAGTAACAAGGAAGATGATAGGAAATGAACCCCGAGTATTGGATAGCATCTCTATTGCCTAAATCAAAGCGACAAAAGAAATTTTAAATCTCAAATGATGTCAGGGGTTAAAATTTACAAAGGTAAACTGAGAAATATACATATCCACACACCCACACACACAGAGACACATCCAGTTGCAGAATAATACACCATGAAAAATGGATAGTCCATAAAATTGTCATTTTTGACTGCCATAAATTACATTAAGAGATATCCACGTTCTTATGCATGAAAGAATCACAAAGAAATATAAATGGTAAATTTTAATGGCAGAATTCACAAAGAGGCAAAAGGAGCATGAGAAGATACTTGGTTAAGGGGAGGCAACATATCTGTATCGCCGCCAGCAACACAATTTATGCCAATCCACTCAATGGCCCTTTCAACATCCTCCTTGGTAACCGATTTCATTGATGTGGAAGATAAAAAAGTCTGTCCATTAAAAGCGATAATGCAAAACGAATCTTCTGGATGAAGCTTTGAGAGGGCTGCAGATAGTACATTCTTAACATCATCAAGTGGCTTTCCCTGCATACTTCCACTAATATCAACAACAAACACTATATCCCTTCTGAAAACCTGAAAGACCAATTTGGAGGGGTAAGAATAATGTACATTACAAAATCAGAACACAAAGGGTTAGAAATATTCAAAGAGAACTGCATAAGTTGTATTCATTATAACAGCAACCTTCCTGCTCTGCTCGTTTCCTGGTAGAAGATAGACACAGAAGATTTCTCTTTGATCAATGTCATGCGTGGGCGGTGACTGCACGAGAACAGTACCAAGTGTATGACTCGACGAGACCTAGAAATGCACAAATATGTTAGAATGACAAAAACATTATATAATATGCCCACATGGAACTGAAAAGATTTCTCAAATATGGTCAAGCATCTAGCTGGAAATAAAAATGCATGCAAGCCTTACCGTGTACGAGAAATTAAAGTTGGTATTTGACCAATTCAGAACATCTGCCTCGTACAGAAAACCCAATTTCCCAACTTGGCTTATTCCCCGTAATTCCTGAAAAGTCAAAGCAAAAAATATAAAAAGGTTGCCACCTTGCTTACAAAAAATGATACGAAAGCCCTCAGAGTTATGATCAAAGTTGCACCTTCAAAGAATGACTAACTGTCTTGCACGAAACTTCAGTTCCAACGCAAGAGTTCACGTTTAATTGGATCTTTTCTTTTTTCAGGTACTTCCTTCCCGGGGGGATGACATACTCCGGAAAAGTGAATGGTACATTCAAAGAGAAATCACCATTTGAATACGACAATTTCTGAGACCAACTCATTTTGATTGAGATATTGGCTCCTCCGTTGACCTTGAATAAAACAAGAAGAGTACATTTCATAGAAAAGAGCAAGAATTAAAAAACACGAATCCGAATGCTGATAAAAATAGCAAACTGTAAAAACAAAAAGTATGTCGATTCTTCGTAAGTTATTATTACCTGAGGTGTTGTTAATGTGAATATAAGAGGTTTGACTCTGAGAAAGCCTCCCTCTGCATTGGCCATCTTCTCCATCTCCTTCTCATCTTCCAAATGACTGAGTTGAGTATGGTACGATTTACCGTTTACGTCGACCTCAACACCTAGAATTGAACCCTGTTAGCACAAATATATGATTTTCTTAACAAGAGGGATCAAAATCAACACACCCAAAAATTCAATCAATTTCAAAATATTTCCAAATTTCAGCAACAATATCATCATTAAATTCAAAACCCCAACAGCTATTTCAACAAATCAGAGCCTCCAAAGGAAATAAATTAACAGACTGAATACAAAAATGCAAAAAAGATAACTTTTTTTCGAATTTATGCACCTGTTCACCCATAGGAATGGCAACGCGGCAACCGCAGCTCTTGCTAGCCTTTACGCAATGGACCCTCCACGACCCGGAAACCCGAATAAAGGCGGTGTCCATGTAGCAATCGACCTCGAGCTCGACCCGGTTCATCGTCAGCGGAATGAGGGCCGGGGGGTCACACCTTCCGTGCACGTGGGGCTGGTAGCTGGGGATGTCCGGGTTGTCGACGATGGCCGGGTCGGAGATGACCGCGTAGACCATCGGCGCCTTAGGGAGGAACGCGCACGACGTCGCTTTGTCCATCGACGGCGGCGGCTTCGGCGGCGACACCGCTCGATCCTTCCCGAAGTATAGTCGTTTGGAGAGCTTGAGACCGTCATCCACGGCTTTGGAGAAATCCTCAGCCATTTCGGACGATCAAATGGGGAATTTCGGATCCGAGAACTTGTGGGTCTGCAGGAAATCGGATGTTATAGCGAATGGGAGTCGATTGGCGATCGCAGAATTAGACGAGCGAGAGAGCGCGAGACAGAGAGGGAGATTGCGTGACCGTTGGGGAACGCTGGGGCATTTCCTTTTTTTTGAAATATTTCACAAGGCGTTATTGTTTTTAGATGCGCTCGAAAACCAGCTGGCGGATTGACGAGTGGGAACGCGACGCGTGGAGGGACGGCGGGGTATTTGGATCTGGTGGTTCGCGGAGGGCGCAGGGGAGCATGTTTGGCGCGTTGGGATGCGCGGGCATTCGTTGGAAATTGGGTGCGTTGGTGAATGAGAAGCACGTGATCGTGGCTTTTGGATGAGAAGGGTTAATCTGACTTTTACGGGTGATTACGTGGATGATTAAGTGGGTAATTAGAGAGAGAGATTGATTAGGACATGGGTCCTTGTTTTCTTGAATGCTATGAGGACCTGTACACGTGGAGCGTTGAGGCGACACCAGAATGTCGTCCTTCTGTCACTAACAATATTTTAGCGGGCGGACGGTTAATGAAGATAAGATCTTAAAAAATTATAAAATAATGGGTCAATATCTTAAATATTAAATAATTATGTTTTGACAAAAAAAGAAAATTAAAATACACACGAGTAAAAATGAGAGTCGAATTCTTAATTTTTTGACAAATATTATATAAGATAAAAGCAAGATATGAGAAAAGTTAAAAAATAATAATGATTTGTTTACTTATTTATGGGCGAATCAAGGATGAAAGTGAAATCGTCTCTTTCTTTCTTGACCTAAACGAAAAGGTGTCATCTTTTCCAATATGTAAAATAGTTATCTAATTTCACAAGTTCAGTATCATTATTGGTAAGTTCATCAATCATGAACTACCAATGATCGATTTTAGTTCATATCCTAATCCACCCGCCAAGCAAGGTCTATGTCTAATTATCTCAAAGGCCGAAGGCTGCTTGACCCACAAACCAAGTCCAACACACTAAAAGGGTGCACAGGTGATGTTGCCAATGGGAGACGTACTTTAATCTGTTTATACACCCGATTTCAAATTCTTATTCTACCGTTTAAATTTCTTTAAAACAGAAGCTCATGATAAAAGGAGTAAAAGAAAACCTAAGAAGAGTTAGAAAAGTGACTAAAAAAGACATGGAATACTTAGAGTTAACGGAAGATTTGACATAAAACCGAGCGCAGTGACGTGTTCTAAAATTCATACAGACAACCCCATTTAGTAAGATAAGACTTTGTTATTATTGTTTCTAGATTAGATGAATGTGTGCAGAAGCAACAAAATTCCCATAAAAATGCCAATTAAAAAAATGAAGTTTTAACGAAACACTCCCGGTACTGTTCACTTTAAATGAAAAACCATATTTTTACCTTTAGTTGGTTCTATTCACTACACCTTTATTTGTCATTTTTCATTAAAACTAAAGTTTTTTTGAACTTTTTCTTAGTTTTCCTATTAAAAAAAATGTGTATATATATTCGATTATTTGGAATTTTGTAATATGAGTAGGGTAATGCATTAGACACAATGAAAATTGTACACCCATATACATTCATGACTTGAAAATCCTATTCTTTCAATCCTGAATATCTAATCCTACCACCCTCTGCAGAATATCTGAAATCTCGCTTCCCTTTTATCTGTTGCGGTGCTTTCCCAAACAACCCTCAATCTCGGGGGTTAAGCAAACTAACCAAAACTGGAGAGAAGGTCTCGATCGGCGAAGCTACAAACCTACAACATAAGACTAAACCTGGGACACCGCAGGACTTCACGTTGTCCACAGTAATTGTGGTTGTGATCAACTGGTTGCCATTTTCTCCAACGATCAAAGTCTGCGCCCGATTTCTATGTAGACCTTCGCGGGTGACATCTCCCCTTCTTTGGGATAAAGGCCTTTAGTCCTGGACCTGAGCCATGTATCTGGATCACCAGGTAAACACCAATGCAGACAATCTTGCACGCCTGGTTTCGCTGTTTTGCTGAACCGGGATATATGACCTTCATCCCTGACCTTGGATAGAGCTGTTGTATCCAAGAGCTTAACCCCTGTTCCCTTCGCTGCACCTGCAGCATCTGAGTCACTCGACACTTCTTGCAATAATTCCTTTCCTATTGACATACGAGTGGTGTTGTCACAGCTTCCTCCTGTGTTCCATTCACCACCGACAAAATGCCTGGGCGAGATGGTCCGGTAGAAAGCTTTGAGACCCGGATACTATGGGAGCTGCGAGTTCACCCAATTAATGATACTGTGGACTGTCACATTCTTGGCCTTCCAAATCACAGCTATCTTCCTGTCAGTGTTTCGGACACCCCCAAGATGCATCACCCAACGGTTAGCTTTAAGCTTTCCACGGTTCCAGTGGTGCCCTGTATTGAGGACCAGGACATTAAGTTTATGAATATATTGGCACAAGAATGCGGGTGGCCGATCAAGGTGCATGGCATAATGAGTGGCTGGGTTTGAAGCATCAATAGGCTGCAGATCACAGAGGGTTGATGACCAGGAATAGAGGATGGTAGTGTTGGTGCTTGGGAACCGATATGCCCACCCACTAGGGCGGACATCGCCACGTGCTTGGACTATCCCGTATTCCGGCCCCACATCTATAACATCATGCCTCACCTTACCACCTGTGATCATGCACATTAAAGACTGGAACTGCTGTCGGCCCATTGAAATTCCAACAAAAGCTAGAGTTTTGTGTTGCATCCTGAATACAATAATACAATACTCACATTATCAATATATGTCAGGCTATAGTCGCTATGCCAAACAAACAAGAAAGAGAGCAAATAAATCACCCAAAGGGGTTAAAACCTACAGAAAATAAGGTTAAAAACCTTAAATTCTTCAAATAGATGAACGGACGAGAGATATTAAAATGCAAGGTAGCTTGTGAATCCTCGATTGATACTTACATGCACGAAATAAGAGATCTACTAACCAAAACACCACAACTTGAGAAATTCGTTAACTTGAGCCCATAATGGATTTAATATATAGGAGAAACAATCATTACAAGTCAGATTTATGCATACTAGGGGGCTAAGGTCACATCACATCAGATTCAAGATAGTAATAAAATGAAACCTTGCACATGATCGAAACTGTTTAATTTTAACATTTTAATACCTTTTCAAGAACTTAGAGCCTTCAAATTCTTCCATTTGACAATCTTTTGGCTGCCATGAAACCTTCTCGTAGGAAAAATCTGTGCGCTGTGTCATCCGGTAATACCACATACTTGACAGCCATTGCTTACAGCCATGCCCAAAATACAGCGGCTTCTTATGGTCCACAACCCATTTTCCTTTCGCATAATTGCAGACTGGAGCTATTGTCAGATAAAAAACAATCAGTAATATAATCACGAAAGCTAACAATAACAAATTGGTCTAGGTAGATTCTTGTGATCGAGCTTTCCAAGGATTTAGAAAGAAATACAAGACATTTAAAAACAAAAATTAAAACATAATCTATCATATAAATTAAAAGATATTATTACCTAATGATGTCCCTAGCTCCACGTTTTGCTTTTGTACATCTGAATTATTTTCCACTGCTTTTTCTTTCTGTCTTGCATCAACTGCCTTGCCATCTATTTCCGCTTCCTGAACTTCTTTATTTTCTTCTCTTTCTTTTGACCCACTTGTTAAAACCCCTGGCACCATAATAACATACAATTCAAGTCCATACTATTTGATGATGTTTAAAGCATATAGCCATCGAGATTGTACTGTTAAAAAGAGAAATAGAATTTCGGGGATGGATTTCAGCATTTGAACATGTAAACTGTACAAAAAGAAAAGCAAGATCATAACAAGATAATTTTGAGAGAAAATTTGATTTGGCACAACACTACTCACGCTACTCTAATGAACACAACAGTTTGACGTACAAGAAATAGGACAACTTAAGAAATACAATCAGAAAACCAACATATCAATCACAAACTCTTCATAAGGATCTAACTCCAAGGACACAAAAGAAAACAATATCTTACCACTTTTCTCAACCTGGTTTGATGCTATATCACCACTAATCTCTTCACTTTCGTCAGAGCCTTGTTCAGAACCTGGTGGAGCTCCGAGTCGTAATTCTTCTTTTACAGTATCTTTTTGGGTAAATGTTGCTACCCCTTTGCCCACATCTATTTCTTGTTCTGATAGTGCAGATTTATCTGCATAATCATCCTTTATCTCTGCAACGAACACCAAAGGGAAAATACGAATAAGCTATTGAAAGAAAACCAACAACGTTTGCCTAAAGGAAAATAAATACACTACTAGAGACAAACCTGAGCCCAACTGCAAACGGGTTTGGGGCGGCACCAAGTTAGTAAGAATCTGGGTTTTCTCCCATCCCCATAAGAATGGTGGTGCACATTAGAACAATGGTAAAAAGAGAGAGCTGTTTACCCTTCAGTCCTTAAAAGCTTCCTTTCATTCTATATACACAATACAAGACCAAACAAGTACGTTAGAACTTAAAGCTCATACAACTTTTACAGTTCCTAGCCATCGAAATGTTCCTGCATAATACAAATCACAAGATAACGAAAAAAAATAAAAAACTAACAAAAAAATTATAAAAAAAATAAAATAAAAAAAAATCAATTTGGGCGTTTCATTCCCCAGCTTCGTCTCCACTGCCACCCCGCCACACTCGATCCCTGACCTTCGACCACTCCACCTCCCACGCGCCTTCTTCTTCTTCTTTCTCTCCGACTCCTCTGTCCTTGAAAAACCCACACGCCGCCGCCTCAGCTCTACTGTAACGACGGCACTATGTCTTACAGTGCACCGATGGTGCATGCAAGACCACAGTCGCGTTCCACATGCTCCATAGATTCGAGATATAAGCTTTTGAGGTTAAATTACTCAAGGAAATGGTGGTGATGGTGGCTAGTTTGCCACTGTGCTAGAGAGAGAGAGAGAGAGAGAGAGTTTGCGGAAGTGAGGGAACTCCCTGGAGCCAATGCATGTCAGGTGGCTTATTCACAAGCATAGCCGTCTTGCATGTATGACAGGTGGAACTTGGAAATCTAATGACACACACACACACACATATATATATATATATATATATGTTTTCTTTCCAACGAGTTCACC